CAGAGGAAAACAACGCATAACATAATGGGGAAAGAGGGTTTGGAGAATCTGATACTCACAGGACAGATTGAAGTCAAGATGGCCAGAGGAAAACAACGCATAACATAATGAGGAAATATGGCTTAGAGAATCTGATACTCATAGGACAGATTGAAGACAAGACGAACAGAGGAAAATAACGCATAACATAATGAGGAAAGAGGGCTTGGAGAATCTGGTACTCACAGGACAGATTGAAGGCAAGACGGTCAGAGGAAAACAACGCATAAAATAATGAAGAAAGAGGGCTTGGAGAATCTGATACTCACAGGACAGAATGAAGACAAGACGGACAGAGGAAAATAACGCATAACATATCTAGCGAGCTTGAGTAAATGGATTACGAAACAACGTCCAAGAGAAATAACAGAAAGACAAAGTTTATTAACAGCTACAAAGACAGGAAGTTCCATAGAGTCATGATCGCCTACGTGTTGAGAGAACATCGCACATAAAGAACAAGACAATAATAATAATAATAATAATAATATTACCTTGAAATAGAAATCTCGAAAATGTGGCATATGGGAACATCAACAGTCCCTGTTGTAGTTGGAGCCCTAGGACTGGTTGGAAAAGATTGCAGTAGACTAATTTGAAGGGATTCCTGGAAGTCCATGCCTCAAGGAGATACAAAAAATTGTCCTGACAAGTACAGCCCACACCTTACGAAGGGCTTTATCTATGTAATTTTTTTTTTTTTTGTCAGTGGAAAGTGTCATGACGCCATTTCTAACCTTAGGTCCCTGGGCGGGACCCGGAAAGAAATGTGTAAACGCCAGAAATCAAAGGAAATAAAAAAATAATAATAAAAAAGCTTCAAGTAATAAATTCTGATGAAAAGTACGAATTCGTCTTTCTAGGATTCTTCACTTTCAACCGTGTTAATCCATTTTGAGCGTTGTTAAGATTAAACTCGTAAATCTCAGTTCCTTTTTGATTTCATTTTTCTAATTTTTTTTTGTGACTTTCGTAGTGAAACTTACTTGAAAACAGATCAGATGATGATGGAGAAAAAAACATCGAAATATAAATTAAATCGCCTTGTAGTAAAATTGTATTTGATGTTATCTGGTGTTCCTTCATATTTAATACATTTAATAGTTAACTGCATAAGAACACACAGAAACACATAATTAACAAGCTCGCCCTGCACAACAATGTCGTGATTTTGTCCCTCACTGTGTGCACCATTACTCTGACCTTGTGTCAGACGAAAGAAACAATAACAACTACATTGAAACATTAACCTGTAGCGGTGCTATTTCCACCTTCTGCACATTTTGAAATCATCATTTTATTCTTCTATGTGCAGGAAGTTGGCGATGATGGATCTCCACAATTTCTTGTCCTTTCTAGCTTTTGGTAAAGTTAATCATTTTTCTATTTCTCCTAAATCCTGTTCTGCCATCCATTTACCCAAGCTCTCTAGGTAGGTTATGCGTTTCTTTTCTTTATCCCGCTTGCCTTCAATATGCCCCGGGAGTATCAAATTTTCCAAACTTTCTTTCCTCGTTATGTAACCTAGAAATTTCGATTGACTCTTTTTGATGATAAGTACAAATGACCTTCTATATACAAGATATATTTAAGCCGAAACTATTAATCTAACTAAACAAGCTTGATTGAAAGGAACTGACAAGGTCTGTCTGTAACTTTTTATTATATTTTTCCAATTTTCGAATAAGTATTATAAGTTGTCGATAAACTATCCGAAGTTCATGTTTGTTTATTGTTTTGGTCAAGTACTTTCGACTATCGCAGCCATTTTCAAGAATCACTGAAGGTTTTGCATGGCAGGAAAAAAAGAAAGCTTTTAAAAGAATAACAGGGTGCAGTCAAAGGAATTCTAATTACCACATAGACATCTCATTAGTTCTTGAAAACGACTGTGATGGTTGAAAGTATTTGAAAAAAAAATTAAATTACGGACTTCGGACAGTTTTTCCATAACTTCGAGTAAAATACTAAGCATCTTATGCAAATTTCGAGAAATACAATAAAAAATTAAACAGAAAACTTTGTCCATTCTTTTTAATCGAACTTGTTTATATATATATATATATATATATATATATATATATATATATATATATATATAAATCTAGAAGCATAAACAGTTAATTGCTGATACCCCTCTGACGAGTGGACGGAAGATCCGTCTAAGAGTCGGAATGCTAAAGATATCATCATTCATCTGTCAAAACTTTTACTTGTATTAATTTTAAATATATATATATATAGTAGCGAGCATAAAGATCAGAACGATGTTAAGAAAAAGTCTAAATATGAAATAACATTTTTATTTTAAATCTTCAAAGAACATTTTATCAAGGAAAAATAAGAATATAAAAGTAAATTATATATTTGATATATATATATATATATTTATATATATATATATATATATATATATTTATATATATATTATATATATATATATATATATATATATATATATATATATATATATATAAACACAACCATATATATATATATATATTTGTGTATGTATTTATGTATACTTATATATATGTGTGTGTGCGTTTGAATGTAGATCTAAAAGTGCACAGGCATTCATAAAGACATGCAGAAGTATGTATATTTTGTAAAATCCTATTCTAGCGTACAAATCTCTACAAAATTGATACTCTCCGTTTTTCGTTTCGCCACTGCAAAAACTGGCGCTGGTCAAATTAGAAGGTTGTAATTCACCTGCGACTTCCATGTTTTCGCATTCGTCGCCGATGTCAGCCGAAGTAATTTGCGAGTGAGGTCGATATCAAGATTATATCTGGAAGACGGCGTTTCAGGGTTCTGGCAAAAAAGACTGGTAGAGGGAAGAGTGCAGTATGGTTTCTTGGCTGCATGTGGCATCTAAAATTGTTGAAGGGAAAATGGCAACTTAATCTGCTGTTCGTGTTTGGCGGGAAAAACTGGTAGAATTTTCTTGTCTGAGCGGAGGCAGAAGAAGAAGAAGAAGAAGAAGAAGAAGAAGAAGAAGAAGAAGAAGAAGAAGAAGAAGAAGAAGAAGAAGAAGAAGAAGAAGAAGAAGAAGAAGAAGAAGAAGAAGAAGAAGAAGAAGAAGAAGAAGAAGAAGAAGAAGAAGAAGAAGAAGAAGAAGAAGAAGAAGAAGAAGAAGAAGAAGAAGAAGAAGAAGAAGAAGAAGAAGAAGAAGAAGAAGAAGAAGAAGAAGAAGAAGAAGAAGAAGAAGAAGAAGAAGAAGAAGAAGAAGAAGAAGAAGAAGAAGAAGAAGAAGAAGAAGAAGAAGAAGAAGAAGAAGAAGAAGAAGAAGAAGAAGAAGAAGAAGAAGAAGAAGAAGAAGAAGAAGAAGAAGAAGAAGAAGAAGAAGAAGAAGAAGAAGAAGAAGAAGAAGAAGAAGAAGAAGAAGAAGAAGAAGAAGAAGAAGAAGAAGAAGAAGAAGAAGAAGAAGAAGAAGAAGAAGAAGAAGAAGAAGAAGAAGAAGAAGAAGAAGAAGAAGAAGAAGAAGAAGAAGAAGAAGAAGAAGAAGAAGAAGAAGAAGAAGAAGAAGAAGAAGAAGAAGAAGAAGAAGAAGAAGAAGAAGAAGAAGAAGAAGAAGAAGAAGAAGAAGAAGAAGAAGAAGAAGAAGAAGAAGAAGAAGAAGAAGAAGAAGAAGAAGAAGAAGAAGAAGAAGAAGAAGAAGAAGAAGAAGAAGAAGAAGAAGAAGAAGAAGAAGAAGAAGAAGAAGAAGAAGAAGAAGAAGAAGAAGAAGAAGAAGAAGAAGAAGAAGAAGAAGAAGAAGAAGAAGAAGAAGAAGAAGAAGAAGAAGAAGAAGAAGAAGAAGAAGAAGAAGAAGAAGAAGAAGAAGAAGAAGAAGAAGAAGAAGAAGAAGAAGAAGAAGAAGAAGAAGAAGAAGAAGAAGAAGAAGAAGAAGAAGAAGAAGAAGAAGAAGAAGAAGAAGAAGAAGAAGAAGAAGAAGAAGAAGAAGAAGAAGAAGAAGAAGAAGAAGAAGAAGAAGAAGAAGAAGAAGAAGAAGAAGAAGAAGAAGAAGAAGAAGAAGAAGAAGAAGAAGAAGAAGAAGAAGAAGAAGAAGAAGAAGAAGAAGAAGAAGAAGAAGAAGAAGAAGAAGAAGAAGAAGAAGAAGAAGAAGAAGAAGAAGAAGAAGAAGAAGAAGAAGAAGAAGAAGAAGAAGAAGAAGAAGAAGAAGAAGAAGAAGAAGAAGAAGAAGAAGAAGAAGAAGAAGAAGAAGAAGAAGAAGAAGAAGAAGAAGAAGAAGAAGAAGAAGAAGAAGAAGAAGAAGAAGAAGAAGAAGAAGAAGAAGAAGAAGAAGAAGAAGAAGAAGAAGAAGAAGAAGAAGAAGAAGAAGAAGAAGAAGAAGAAGAAGAAGAAGAAGAAGAAGAAGAAGAAGAAGAAGAAGAAGAAGAAGAAGAAGAAGAAGAAGAAGAAGAAGAAGAAGAAGAAGAAGAAGAAGAAGAAGAAGAAGAAGAAGAAGAAGAAGAAGAAGAAGAAGAAGAAGAAGAAGAAGAAGAAGAAGAAGAAGAAGAAGAAGAAGAAGAAGAAGAAGAAGAAGAAGAAGAAGAAGAAGAAGAAGAAGAAGAAGAAGAAGAAGAAGAAGAAGAAATAAAAGGCAAGTAAGAAGAGAGATGAGAATGAATAAGCAGAATAAAAAGAAATATGAGACTGAAGAAGAAAGAGGAGAATGATGATGAATAATAAGAAGAAAAAGAATATATTAAGAAATAATAAAAAAGAGACTTAAACGAAGTAAGAAAAAGACAAAAAAAAAGGAAAAAAAGAAAAAGGATGAGATTATAAAGGTTATGAAGGTGAAGCGAAGGAAAAAATAACAGCATCCATAACGACGACGACGACGACATTTTTTTTTCTGTTTGCGTAATGAAGTATAATTTTCACTTTGTCGTTTCGTTCGCTACAAACACATTTTGTGTCTTTGAAAATTTTTCTATTTTCATTCAGTTTTGTATTCTTGGCCTCAAGTG